GCGGACTCCGCGACATGCACTGTGATCGCGCTCGTGATCACGAAGACCGTGAAACACACGAGCACGACCCGACCTATGATTGCGGACTCCGTGAAACGCCCTGTGACGACACTCATGCCCTGTGACCACACTCGTGAACATGTGGGCTTCCACCCCCCCCTCCAAGCGACCACAGAACGCGCTCTTGCTTAGCTTTCTTGGGGGCCGTCTCAGAAGATATCCATCCCTTCTGAGATGCACCCTGCCTTCTTAGATGGCCGAACCCCTTAATCAATCCACCAACTCATTTTAGTACCCAATCCCGTCCAGCGGCCCCTCATGGCTAGCTTCCCGAAACACATCCAGCCGTAAAGGACGAGCGCGCGTCTTCAAAAACGCATAACTAAGTCCAACACGCTTACTTCGTCGTCTTCAACATCTGTCAGGAGGAGGTCCCCAGACGTGCGCTGAAGTCTTCGGATCTCTGTGGAGACCTCTGGAGGCCTCAGGAGGATAACCCTCTGCCTCTGGAGGTCCCGCAAAAAGTGTGCGGAAAACCTGATCCTCGATCCCCCCCCCTCCTCTTGGCAGGAGCGACGGGTCATGAGCCCCTTTCCTAGGACAAGGCAAGCACACCGTTTTTGCTGTGCTTGCCTCGACCGCAGAAGATCGAGGGAGGAGGCCGTTGGCCGTGCTTGCCATGGCGAAAAGCAACAGCCAATGCAGACCTGCGGGCCGCGGCCCCCGACCCAAGCCAGAGCAAACACAGGCGAAGTGATGCTGCGCCTCGCTGCCTGAGTCGGTCGCTCTTGACTCGCCTGGGGCCCCAGAGGGCCGCCTGGGAGACCGAAGAGCAATGAAGCACCTCTGGGGCCCTCATCCTTCAGGACACGCATCCCTCATGCTGACCCCACCTCCCGCCCGTCCTAGCCCCCGGGTTGCTTGGAAACAGCGGGAAAACCTGCGTCTCCGCCCCTGGTCCTCCGGGACCCTGCTTCACAAAAAAGGACCCGACCAACCAACCAGACGACCAGCCAACCAACCAACCAATCACCAAGAAACCAACGAGCCAATCAACCACCCGCCCACCCACCCAACCAACCAACCGAGCAACCAACCAACTAATTAATCAACCAACCAACCAACCAATCAACCAACCAACTAAACCAACCGACAAACCAACCAACAGAGCAACCAACCAACCAGCCAGCTAACCAACCAACCAACCCATCAACCAACCTGCCAACCAACCAACCAACCAACCAACCGACCGACCGACTGACCGACCGACCGACCGACCGAAGAAGCGACCGACGAACTGATCAATTTGGCTCAACCCTCGCACGGAACCATTTTTGGGGACAGTGGAACTATTTGGGCACAACCCTGACACCCTCGGGGACTGGACACACGTGTCTGGAACTGGAGGCACGATCCGTGTGAGGGGTGTCGAAAAATTTGCCGATCGACGCCATCTCGGGCGGGGCTCGGGCGTTTGGAATTAAAACATGTTTGTATCGCTTTGCGGAGAAGGGGGAGGCCTCTGCGGTGGAGTGCACAAACTTTCTCCAGCACCGGAAGAGGGGGGGGAGGGAGAAGGAAGGAGGCGCGGCATTGCGTTGCAGATCATTGCATTGTGCTGCCATGAATTGTTTTGCATTGCATCATGTTGCGTTGCATTGCGTTGTGTTTCATTGGGTTGGAGCATTGCATTGCGTTGTGTTGCACTGCACTGTTGCGGGCGAGGGGGAAGAGTGGAAGACAGGGAGAACAGAAGGAGGTAGAGAGTAGGGGAGGAAGGAGAAGTGACGAGGGAGGAGGAGGAGTGAGGAAGGGGGAGGCAGGAGGGGGGACAGGGGGAAGGATGGCGGAGAGGGAAGGGAGAGGGATGATGAGGAGGAAAGAATAATAAGCTTGTTCGTTCCTCTGGCCCTTCTCATCGTCGTCGTCGTCGCCGTCGTCGTCGTGGCATGCTCCGGACACCGAGGCGCTGCCATGTGACGGGTAGAGTGGAATAGTATTTTTGTTGCCCGCCCAGGCATTGCCATGTGACGAGTGGGGCGGGCTTGTTTTTCTTGGGTCTCCGCGGCGCGGACACGCGACGAGGAGCTCATTGCGTTGAATCGCATTGTATTGCATTGCGCTGCGATGCGTTGCATTGCATTGCGTTGGGTTGCATCTCGTTGAGCATTTTCTGGCCCTGGCCAAAGTATCCCTACCAAAACGTCCTGGTCAGGTTCCAAAAGGCCGTACCAGTAGGCCAAAGTAACCGTACTCGTAGCCCCTCCGGCGCGGACTTTCGGGGATGTCTCGAGCGGGGGCTTTGTCCGCGGGTCGTACGAGTAGGCCCGACGTGTAGAAAGCAACTGGCCGACGAACCAACCAACCAAACGACAGACCGATCAACCAACCAACCACCCAACCAATCGGGCAACCAACCAATGTTACCAACCAACCAGCCGGCCCCTCGGCCAACCGGCCAACTGGCGAACCGGCCACCAACCAACCAACCAACCAGCAACCAACCAACCAAGCAACAAACCAACAAACAAACCAACCAACCAACCAACAAACCATCCAACCAACCAATCATCCGAGCAACCGACCAACCAACCCACTAACAAAGCAACCAACCAACCGACCACCCAACCAATCAACAGAAAAACCAACTAACCAACCAGCCAACAACCAACCAGCCAACCCATCCGCCAACCAACCAACCACCCGACCAACCAACCGGCCGACCGGCCAGCCGACCGACAAACAAACGAATGTTGGCACAATTCTCACACGGATTGCGCCTCGGGAGCCAGAAATTCCTGGCGAAGGCCCCTGAGCCTCCCTATATGGGGCCACGAAGCGCTGCACTGGGTGGGGGGGAACGCATGCTGGCGGTAGCACTGGGCCGTCGGTGGAGCTCCCTATGTACTGGGTGGGTGAATCTACCAAATTAGGGGCTTCTGGGACGCATGCGGGCGGTGGCGCTGGGGCCGTCGGTGCAGCTCTCTACGGGGCCACAAAGCGCTGTACTGGGTGAGAGAAAGCGCCAAATTAGGCTTCCGGGGCGCGCGCGGACAGTCCCATTGGGGGCTTCGGTGGAGCTCCATATGGGGCAACGAAACGCTGTACTGGGTTTTTTTTCCCCGCAAACTCACTCAAGCAATCCTCGCGGCCATGCTTGGTTTATATGTCCTCCGGTGTGGTGCGGTGGTCAGCTCACAGCAACGTCTGCCGGGCAGTTAACAAATCCTCTGGTCCGAAGTGATCTAGACGGGTTGCGTGAAAATTACAGTACAGTGTGAGCAGATACAAACAGCAACGTCGTTATGATACTAACAAGGTGCAGCGGTGCTGGCCCACGCTGGTGGCGTGAGCACGGGAAGCAGGCCCGCTCCATGGTACAGCGCGTGGACGATGTCTACAGAGTGGGGTAAAATAGCAAATGAAATTTCCGGGACGGTCCCACTGGGGGCTTCGATGGAGCTCCCTATAGGGCCACGAATCGCTGTACTGGGTGGATGAAAATACCAAATTGGGCTTCCGGGGCGCATGCGGACGGTCCCACTGGGGGCTTCGGTGGAGCTCCCTTTGGGGTCACGAAGCGCTGTACTGGGTGGGTGAAAATACCAAATTGGGCTGCCGGGACGCATGCGGGCGGTCTCACTGGGGGCTTCGGTGGACCTCACTATGGGGCCACGCAGCGGTGTAATGTGTGGGCGAAAACGCCAAGTTAGGCTTCCGGGACGCATGCGGACGGTTCCACTGGGGGCTTCGGTGGAGCTCCCTATGGGGCCACGAAGCGCTGTACGTGGTGGGTGAAAATGCCAAATTGGGTTTCCGGGACACATGCGGACGGTCCCACTGGGGACTTCGGTGGAGCTCCCTATGAGGCCACGAAGAGCTGTAGTGGGTGGGTGCAACACAGGGAGGGAGGAGGGGTAGGGGAGGAAGGAAGGAGGGAACGCGGGGACTGTCTCTTCAAAAACAAAGACCCAGCACCACACGATGATTGCTGGAAAATGTTTGGACCCTCCGAAAAAATGCGTGAACCTTCAGAAAATTGTGGGCCTTGAAGAAATCTGGTGATTAAACCTGCTCCCTGTGCCAAAATGGTGTGGTCCAGATACGCAAACGCAGCCACAGGGGCCTTCGGTGGACCTCCATACGGAGCCACGAAACATGCGAGGGGTGCGCCGACATGGTGAGGAGAAGGTATGCGAACGCAGCCGCTGGGGCCTTACGTGAAGCTCTTCATGGGGCCACGATAACGTGTGAGGTGTGCGCCGAAAAGGTGTGGAGGAGGTTTGCGAACGCTGCCACTGGGGCATTTGTGAAGCTCCCCATGAGAGGTGAGCCGAAAACGTGCGGAGAAGGTATGCGAATGCAGCCGCCGGGGCATTCGGTGGAGCTCCCTTTGGGGCCACGAAACGTGCGAGGAGTGCGCCGACATGGTGTGGCAATGGTATGCGAACGCGGCCACCGGGGCCTTCGGTGGAGCTCCCATGTGGGGCCATGAAACGTGTGAGGGGGGCACTGGGTGGGGGACCTAACAAAATCTATGGAGGCTTCAATTTGTTAAGCGGTAAGAAAATCAGAGGGGTCAAAACCATTCTAGCCCTTGGAGCACGATCCGCCTGAGGGTGTGCAAAATTGGCCGATCTACGACGTCTCGGGGCCCGGGCTTTGGGTCGGGGATTAAAACCGTGGACATGGACATGCGGAGGGCCGAGGCAGGGAGGGGGAGGAGAAGGGAGGGAGGAAGGAAGGGAGAAAGGACGCGGGGACTGTCTCGTCAGAACGAGGACCCAACACCACAGGATGGAAAAGAAAAATTCAACAAAGGAGAAAACACACACACGACCAGAACCCCAGAACCGATCTTTCTGCGGCATTCTTCGAGGCGGGGCGATCCGTGAGGGTCCTGGGGACCCAAACTGGGCGAGAACGACCAGGGAAGAATTGCCAGGCCCGGATCTCAGGGCACGGCACCGAGAGCTCCTCTTGACCCCGCCGCCCGCGTCCTGCGGAGGCCTGCCAGAAGCCCGCCACCAGCCAGAGCGGGGCCGCCCAGGAAGTCGAGGGCCACGTCGAGGGGGTTGGGGCTGCGGGGCGCCGCGTCCTCTGAGCGCACGGCACGGCGGCCACCCCCCAAGGGTGTGGGAGCACGCCAACTGCGCGGGCACAAACTCTACACCTTCGGCAGTGTTCGCGAAGGCCACTGCGGGGAACACGAAGGTTTGGGGCCCCCGCGGGGCACCCAACCTGTTCGAAATCGACGCGTTCCCCAAGACGCCAACCACGGCATCCCCCATGTACCTTTGTGGCGCCAATGGGTAGAACTTTCGGCTAGCGGCTAGCGCCCAACATGCGCCGACCTGGCCCATCCTGGACCTGCAGTGCGACTGGATCATGAGGGTGCGCCCTGAGGATGCAAGGCCCCTGGACGCCCAGATCGAGGCCTGGGCCGGGGGCCAGGATGGCCCGAGGGCCCAGGATGCGAGGGGGCCCCTGGAAAGCTGCCTACCCTCACGACGCGGCTCGACTGCCGGACCGGTGCGTGCGCCCTCCTGGCTCGGCGAGGGATGCATAGAACACCGACCCTTGGAGAAGGGCAGCCGCTCTGGCCCAGGCAGCGACGCTCGACACGCAGTTATCTTCGCGCCTCCGCCGGCGACCTCGGTCACCCACCAGCGATGCTGCCACGGTGTACGCCCGCTGGCATTGCCGGGCAGCTCGCGGGCGTCTGCAAACGGTGAGGTGCCTTCCGCGGGCCTTCCCGCCCAGAAGCACTCCTTCCCTAGACTGCTCGAAGAAGGGCACTTTTGGGCAGCGGCACCGTCCTGAACTGGAGCTCCCATTGCGCAGTCAGCCCATCCGTCATCGTCTGGCCAACGAAAAGAAAGAGGTCGTACGCAATATGGCATAGAGACATTACACGGCGGCTTACGCGGGCCGCCAGCAAGGCACAGCGCGTGAAGAAGAAAGCGCTTACACGCGATCTCACGCGAGAAACGTACGCGCGAATGTCCGCGCAAACGAACCCGTGTTTCTCCGTCGCTCATCTGGAGCGTCGTAAGCTGGATCTCCTCAGCTGAAAGCCCCTTGTAGTACTAAACTGGAGCGTCCTGAACTGGAACGCTTTTTGCTTCCTTCCCGGAGGCCTCCAGAGTTCCTCGGGAATACCTGGAGGCCTCCGCAGGCCCCAGAGCCCGATCCTTGGTCCTCGGCTCTGCTCGGCTTCTCAAAAGACAAGCTCATTGTATTTGCAATGACCGGGAGAGACCACGGGCAGGAACGGGAGAAGATGGAATATGTCCTTCCCTCTGGTCATCCGTCCTCCTCTTCTTCCTCCTGGTCCGCCTTCAGGTCGGACGAAAGGGGGATAGCAAAGGGGGGGGAGAATCAGCTGTGCACGCAGCTAGTTTTCCCGGCGCGGGGAGCTGCGCTGGGAGCGGAGAAGCATCGAAGAACCCACGTGGCGGCGAGGCCGAAACCAGCTGAACGCAACAAATGTCGAAGACCCCCCCCATTCCGTAACCCCCCCACCCGTTCGCCCGACCCGATCCCAGACATCCGCCGATGTGTGTTTTTCCAATCCGCCGCCTCAGAAGTCCCGACCGCTTCCCTGGGGTAGTTTTCCGTCCAGGATCCCATGTTGATGGCACCGAGGCCCGAAAACGGCCCCTGACATGCTGAAGTCCAAGGAAAACCGTCGGCTGAAATTATCCTGGCGAGGGGACCAACAATATGCAGGTGTGAGCACCGTGAAACAAGTGGAGACTGAAGGAAGGAGCTAGCACAAAGGACTAAGGCGTGCGTGGAAGGGCGGAGCGACGATGCTGATGGGGTCGCAAAGGTCAGCCGTACCAAACTACATCTGGAACTAACCCGTTACAGACGGTGATCTGCGAGTCTGTCGGTGCGGCCCTGGGGGGCAGCAGGCGGCAAGGCCTTTGGTGGACCTCCCTACTGGGTGGGCCACGAAGCGTGCGAGGAGTGTGCCGACATGGGCGCGGTCACACATGCGAGTCTTGCCACTGGGATCTTTGGTGGAGCTCCCAATGGGCCACGAAGCGTATGATGGGTGCGCCAAACTGGGCGTGGTCACGCATGCGAGTCCTGCCACTGGGGCCTTCAGTGGGACTCCCTCTGGGGCCACGAGACGTGTGATGGGTGTGCGGACATGGGCACGCGAGGACCAATCGCCCCCACATGGGGCCACAAAACATGTGCGGGGGTGCGCCAAATTAGTGCGAAGGACATGCTCCCAATGGTGCGCCCCAGGTGTGCGAACGCAGCCACTGGGGCCTCAGGTGGAGCTCCTTGTGGGTCCACGAAACGTGTGAGTGGTGCGACGGAATGCACATTGTGGAACCAGCAGCAAGAGCAGGAGAAGGGAGGAGGGGGGAGGGAGGAGGGGCAGCGGGAGGTGAGACGCGCAGCGCTGTCTCTGGCCGTCGGAGAGCTGTCGCGGTCCTCCGTCCCTGCGCCCAGCACGTCCCCGCTCTGCGCGCCGTCGGCGCGGCCGCCCGCGCCCACTGGGGCCCCCTGGTGGGCACCCGCGCCCCTGGCTGCCTGCGGCACCCCGCCCTCCGCGGGCTCCCCGTCCGCGCCCGTGCTCCGAGTGCCGTCAGCGAGGTCGCCGACGCCAGCCGCCTGCTGAGCGCCTGCGGCCGTCCGCGGCTCCACGTCCTCCAAGGGCTCTCCGTCCGCGTCCGCCGTGCTCTGCGTGCAATCGTCCGCGCTGTCCTTCACGGCCGACTCCCCGTCCGTGCCCGCGGTCGGCGCGCAGTCGTCAGCGAGGTCGCCGACGCCGCCCAGGGCCTCCCAATGAGCGCTGGCGACCGTCCGCGGCTTCCCGGCCTCGCCGGGCTTCCAGTCCAACTCCTGCGCCATCTTGCTGGGATCGCCCTGCGTCCGGTCCGCCTGTGGGCCGAGCGAGGAGGGGGATTAGGATAGGGGATGGAAGAGGGAGGAGAGGAGAGGAAGGAGGAGAAAGGAGGATAATGAGGATAAGGACGACAAAGAGGAGGAGGAAGAGGAGGTGGGGCAAGGGGAAGGAAGAGGAGGAGGGGTGGGGGTGGAGGAGAGGGAGGAGACTGATGGGGGAGCAAAGAGGAGAGAGAGAGAGAGAGGGGGGGGCAAGGAGCTGGGAAGGAGGAGGGAAGAGGGAAGGGCGACGCCAGAGGAGCGAGGAGCGAGGAAGGATGAGGATAATGGACTCCGTCGAGCGCGGAGAGGTGGAACGAGCCCCCACCGCTGCAAAGGAACCCTTTCGTGGGGGCGCTCCAGGTCTCCTTCGTCCTGTGTTACACGGAGGGCCCTCCACCACTCGATCGCGATGCCAACTTCTGGCGGATGGGCTCGTGGCACGTGGCCATGCGAACTCCGAAGCCGCACACTGACTGAGGATTCGGCCTGACTTAAACACTTGTGGATTCAACACGAGGGGAGCGGCTGGTTGGCAGCATTCGCTCTGCAGAAGCACGAAGAGAATCTGCTTGCCCAGCTTCTTCTGAAGGCTCACCCCAGGCAGAGATCGCACAAGACCTCGAGTCCCTTGGGCGCGGGGCGGGCACAGGGAGCCCTCAGTGTCTGTTTACTCTGGTGTCGGGCCCACGTCCCGCACAGAGTTCTACTCAGGACAAACTTCTCTTGCTGCTCGGGCGTCGTGGAGACTATGTGACCACCCTGATGCACTGCATCCGGAGTCTCCCTGCACCCCAGCAGGAAAACATCCTGAACAACTTTCAACATGGTCCAGCGCTTTGTCCAACTAGTTTACCAGGACTCGTGGATGAGCAAGCGTGCCAACCTTCTTTCCTGACTTCTCTCCTCCTCCGACGAGGTAGGTGGCAGCTGCCGACACTCCTTTTGCGCAAAACGATACATGGCAGCGGCGGCAAGTTGGAGAAAGAAAGCACACGCCTGCTCGCCGCTTGGCACACTGGTCCTGGATGAATATGCACAACTCTTGTCGCACACACGCACGCACTAACAAACGTCGGCAGCAACATGCTCATCAGTGGGGCGACGCTCTGGTTCGCTCAACCACTCGTCATCGCTTTACGAAGGGTGCGCCTGGAGGTGGTGCACTCCCTGAGTGTGCTTCCTACTTGGCAAGCATGACCGGAGGCCTGCGCATGCGTGCATGAGAGGAGGAAGGACACGGACATCGCGACGAGGCAGGAGCGAGACTAATCGCCATCACTGATGGGCCAAAGTCCTTCGAAGTCGGCCTCATTCGTAGCCCTCCTACACTCCCGAGCCCATTCAACCGCCGAATGGGCAGACTCAAAAACGTGCAGGCTGGCAACTCGCTCGGGGCACAGTACGGGGACAGAGAACCCGCACTGGTGGAAACTGTCGTGGAGACTATGTGACCACCCTGATGCACTGCATCCGGAGTCTCCCTGCACCCCAGCAGGAAAACATCCTGAACAACTTTCAACATGGTCCAGCGCTTTGTCCAACTAGTTTACCAGGACTCGTGGGTGAGCAAGCGTGCCAACCTTCTTTCCTGACTTCTCTCCTCCTCCGACGAGGTAGGTGGCAGCTGCCGACACTCCTTTTGCGCAAAACGATACATGGCAGCGGCGGCAAGTTGGAGAAAGAAAGCACACGCCTGCTCGCCGCTTGGCACACTGGTCCTGGATGAATATGCACAACTCTTGTCGCACACACGCACGCACTAACAAACGTCGGCAGCAACATGCTCATCAGTGGGGCGACGCTCTGGTTCGCTCAACCACTCGTCATCGCTTTACGAAGGGTGCGCCTGGAGGTGGTGCACTCCCTGAGTGTGCTTCCTACTTGGCAAGCATGACCGGAGGCCTGCGCATGCGTGCATGAGAGGAGGAAGGACACGGACATCGCGACGAGGCAGGAGCGAGACTAATCGCCATCACTGATGGGCCAAAGTCCTTCGAAGTCGGCCTCATTCGTAGCCCTCCTACACTCCCGAGCCCATTCAACCGCCGAATGGGCAGACTCAAAAACGTGCAGGCTGGCAACTCGCTCGGGGCACAGTACGGGGACAGAGAACCCGCACTGGTGGAAACTGTCGTGGAGACTATGTGACCACCCTGATGCACTGCATCCGGAGTCTCCCTGCACCCCAGCAGGAAAACATCCTGAACAACTTTCAACATGGTCCAGCGCTTTGTCCAACTAGTTTACCAGGACTCGTGGATGAGCAAGCGTGCCAACCTTCTTTCCTGACTTCTCTCCTCCTCCGACGAGGTAGGTGGCAGCTGCCGACACTCCTTTTGCGCAAAACGATACATGGCAGCGGCGGCAAGTTGGAGAAAGAAAGCACACGCCTGCTCGCCGCTTGGCACACTGGTCCTGGATGAATATGCACAACTCTTGTCGCACACACGCACGCGCTAACAAACGTCGGCAGCAACATGCTCATCAGTGGGGCGACGCTCTGGTTCGCTCAACCACTCGTCATCGCTTTACGAAGGGTGCGCCTGGAGGTGGTGCACTCCCTGAGTGTGCTTCCTACTTGGCAAGCATGACCGGAGGCCTGCGCATGCGTGCATGAGAGGAGGAAGGACACGGACATCGCGACGAGGCAGGAGCGAGACTAATCGCCATCACTGATGGGCCAAAGTCCTTCGAAGTCGGCCTCATTCGTAGCCCTCCTACACTCCCGAGCCCATTCAACCGCCGAATGGGCAGACTCAAAAACGTGCAGGCTGGCAACTCGCTCGGGGCACAGTAGCTCGCCGCTTGGCACACTGGTCCTGGATGAATATGCACAACTCTTGTCGCACACACGCACGCGCTAACAAACGTCGGCAGCAACATGCTCATCAGTGGGGCGACGCTCTGGTTCGCTCAACCACTCGTCATCGCTTTACGAAGGGTGCGCCTGGAGGTGGTGCACTCCCTGAGTGTGCTTCCTACTTGGCAAGCATGACCGGAGGCCTGCGCATGCGTGCATGAGAGGAGGAAGGACACGGACATCGCGACGAGGCAGGAGCGAGACTAATCGCCATCACTGATGGGCCAAAGTCCTTCGAAGTCGGCCTCATTCGTAGCCCTCCTACACTCCCGAGCCCATTCAACCGCCGAATGGGCAGACTCAAAAACGTGCAGGCTGGCAACTCGCTCGGGGCACAGTACGGGGACAGAGAACCCGCGCTGGTGGGAACTGTCGTGGAGACTATGTGACCACCCTGATGCACTGCATCCGGAGTCCCCCTGCACCCCATCAGAAAAACATCCTGAACAACTTTCAACATGGCCCAGCGCTTTGTCCAACTAGTTTACCAGGACTCGTGGATGAGCAAGCGTGCCAACCTTCTTTCCTGACTTCTCTCCTCCCCCGACGAGGTAGGTGGCAGCTGCCGACACTCCTTTTGCGCAAAACGATACATGGCAGCGGCGGCAAGTTGGAGAAAGAAAGCACACGCCTGCTCGCCGCTTGGCACACTGGTCCTGGACGAATATGCACAACTCTTGTCGCACACGCGCACGCACTAACAAACGTCGGCAGCAACATGCTCATCAGTGGGGCGACGCTCTGGTTCGCTCAACCACTCGTCATCGCTTTACGAAGGGTGCGCCTGGAGGTGGTGCACTCCCTGAGTGTGCTTCCTACTTGGCAAGCATGACCGGAGGCCTGCGCATGCGTGCATGAGAGGAGGAAGGACACGGACATCGCGACGAGGCAGGAGCGAGACTAATCGCCATCACTGATGGGCCAAAGTCCTTCGAAGTCGGCCTCATTCGTAGCCCTCCTACACTCCCGAGCCCATTCAACCGCCGAATGGGCAGACTCAAAAACGCGCAGGCTGGCAACTCGCTCGGGGCCCAGTACGGGGACAGAGAACCCGCACTGGTGGAAGCTGGCGGGTTCAAGGGAGAAGTCGGCCACGGGGCCCGTCCCATGCCCGCCAGCGGGCCCGTCCCGAACGCCAGGCCCTCCCCCAGGCAACGGACAAGAGCGGGAGTCCACCAGCTCCCCGCGCAACCATTCAACATCACCCTCCTGGAGGCCTCTGAGCCATGAAAGCGTTTTTGGGGTCCAGGACCGAGGGGTGAAGAAACCGACGGGGTCTCGAACGCTGGGTCTTGAGCCCAGGGTGACCCGATCCCATGCAGACCCCAGCGAGGCCCTTCCCAGGTGAGGCTCTCTGGCCAACAGCGGCACCACTGGACTTGCAGAAGAGAACGGGAGTGGGATCCCGCCAGAGACACAATGCCTACATCACGCTTGGCCACTGAGTGCCCTTGAAAAAGCCGCGGCCTACCAGGAACCTGCCCCGCGCCCCTCCCCCCCCGCCCAACGCCCAACCTTCGCATCGGGCGCTGGCTCGGGCACGGTGGGAAGTGGAACGCAAACTGCCCGCTTGCAACGAAGCTGTTCGCGGGCACAGATGGTTGCATTGACGGCATCACCTGATTCGATGCCCGATGCAAGGTCAAGAACAACGTCAGCCGTGCCACCGACTCCTCAGGTGCCCCACGCATCGTTGTCCCCCATCCAAGCGTGCAGTTGACCTGCCCACTGGACTACCTGACGGGCCTTGCTTTTGCAGTCTACCATATACCCTTTCAGGGGGGCTCTCTAGACGCCGGCGCATGACCGTTAACTTGCATCTCTGCAAAAGACTGGCCATGCTTGGCCAGCCGCGCCGTCGACAGCTGACGGTCGGCGCCCAATGACCTGAGGCCTTGCAGCGCGCGCCCAGTGAGCCCCGAGTAATCAGACAACAGTTATCCTGGCGAAGGACCCAACCATGTGCAGTTGTGGGTACCGCAATTGTGAATATCTTCTTCGGTGAAGCTCCCTATGGGGCCAAGAAGCGCTGCACTGTGTGGGGGGGAACGCATGCGGACGGTGGCACTGGGGGCTTCGGTGGAACTCCCTATGGGGCCACGAAACGCTGTACTGGGTGGGTGAAAATGCCAAATTGGGCGTGTGGGACGCATGCGGGCGGTCCCACTGGGGGTTTCGGTGGAGCTCCCTGTGGGGCCACGAGGCGATGCACTGGGTGGGGGGGGAACGCATGCGGAAGGTAGCACTGGGGCCGTCGGTGGAGCTCCCTGTGGGGCCAAGAAGCGCAGTACTGGGTGGTTGAAAATGCCAAATTGGGTGTGTGGGACGCATGCGGACGGTGGCACTGGGGGGTTCGGTGGAAATCCCTATGGGGCCACGAAACGCTGTACTGGGCCGGTTGAAAAAGCCAAATTGAGCGTGTGGGGCGCATGCGGGCGGTCCCACTGGGGGATTCGGTGGAGCTCCCTGTGGGGTCACGAAGCGCTGCACTGGGCGGGTGAAAATGCCAAATTGGGTGTGTGGGACGCATGCGGGCGGTCCAACTGGGGCCCTGGGGGCTTCGGCGGAGCTCCCTATGGAGCCACGAAGCGCTGTACTGAGAGGGTGAAAATGCCAAATTGGGTGTTCGGGGACGCATGCGGACGGTGGCACCGAGAGAAGCGTCGTCCGACCCACCTTCTGCAGCACTGTCTCGACGTCCTTGGGCCGTGCCAGCTCGTCCAGCTCCGCGAGGGGCTCCTCATGTTCCCGCAGCTGGCGCCTTCGTGAAGAGTTCCGCCTTCTCCTCGACCCTGGTCTTGCACTTGTCCACCTGCTGTGCCTTGTCCGCTCGCCGCTGCGCACCTGAGCAAAGGCGAGCCGCTTCCCGGATACTTGCACCTTCCCTCCAGATGCTTCGGCAGCCTTCTGGAGGGTCGCGAGGGCCGTGGGCCCCTATTGACTGCAAGGTACCTGCTTCCTTGGTGAGGTCGACGGTTTCCTCATCAGACTGCCCATTCCCCCGCCGATGACGACCACTTGACCCACCCCCGCTTGGAACCCGCACCCCTGGGTTGCTTCCAGGGCGCGTCGAGGAAGGTGGCCAAGGAGGGCGAGCGCCTTAGGCAGAGCTTTGGCGCAACACGCACGGCATGCAAGGTTGTTCGGGCCACCGCCACACTTGCCCGAACACTCCCATTGGTCTTAGCCCGACCGACGCCCACAGCTCGCGGGCGCGAGAGACGGGTCCTGGCGAATCACGATTGGCTTGCAGACGCGAGCCCCGCTGAAGTACGCGTCTGCATGCTCAGCTCCCCACCCGAGCCAAAACGGATTGTGCCACAATGGCTACGAATGTGAGGGGGGAGGAGTGAGGAAGTAAGGAGGAGGGAGGAGGAAGCAGGCAGGACGGAGGGGTAATCAAGGAGGATGTGGGAGGACGGAGGAATGCAGAGGAGATCTCCGCAGACTCATCAAAGCCTCAGGAAATCAGCCGAACACATCATAGAACCCTCGCTCCTCTGAAAATCTCCAAACACCTGAGTCACCTAACTTCGCGCCTCCCCTATTGAAACCCAGATGGAGAAGAGCAAGTCTCCACTCCAGGCCACGAAGCGCGCAGCGCGATCCGCTTCGCGCCCCTCCACTCGGACAACCGCTTGAGGAGCAGTAGCAGCAGCAGCAGCAGCAGGAGGAGGAAGAGGACAACGACGACGCAACCACGATGACGGCGGCGACCACGACGACAAAAAACAAGGAGGACGACGAGGACGACGACGAGGACGGCGGCGGCCGCGCGCCTGCGTGGCCGGCCGCGGGCCCGCCGCGGCCTCCGCGGGGCTGTCTAGCTGGCCCGCGGGCTCGCCTGCAGCAGCTGGGGCGGCGGCGGAGTCTGGAGCGGAGGCCGCCCACCTGCGGTGGGAGGGCGCCAAGCTGCCACGTATTTGGGGGAGCGAAGGCACCGTCAGTGACAAGCCGCCGTGGGGAACCCATCAGCGTGCTGCTACTGAAAGAGCACCAGGTTTTCGGGCGAACACGGAGGAGCTGCATGCTGACAGGCCCCCATCCCATCGGCAGCGTGCCATTGATACTGCTACCCCCTTCCATGTATTCGACCATGGATCCCTTGTTGCTCATCAGCCTTGGGCGGTCTTCGGCAAATTTCGGGGGTATTCTCGGGATCTTTGGAAGTCTTGGGCGGTCTCCAACGCGAGCGCTGGATGGTTGCGTTCAACAGGAGGCCAATGATCGAACACCTAACAACAGCACACCGTGCACCGACACCGTGCACCGACCTGGGCTAGGATCTGTGTGTACGCCAACCTGGCTTGGCCAGGGAGGCACATCCACCGATTCCTGGGACCAGGATGGGCATGCCCAGGAGAGGATCGCTATATGTGCATAGCTGGCAGGTTGTTTTTCTCCAGGGGCGCCCAGAGGTCTCTGGAGGACCTAAAAGGAGGACCGCAAGGATCCAGCAGAGGTCGCAGTTTCTGGCAAGCTTTCGTCCCCACCGCTGGGCTCCTTCGGAACCCTGGTCAAAACTAGGCTCCTTCGGAACCCTGGTCAAAACGCACCTAAGTTTGGAGAGGTCCAGAAGCGGAAGAGGATCAACGACCGACGCACGCCGGCGCCCTCGTGGACTTATGCAGATCCCGGCGTTTTGGTTTGCGATCTCGACCTTGGGGGACCATGCTCGGCCTGCTTTTGACCTCCTGGACACGCTTACAAAAACGTCCCAAACGGGCCGAGAACGTGATAACGTATTTGCTACCTCTTGGAACGGACGATAAAGGGGAGGATAGATAGTACAGGGGGGTGGCAAATCAGCTCACGCGGCTGCTTTTCCCAGCGCCTCCCAGCGCCAATGCATCGAGGAGAGCGCCTGACGGCGGGGCCCAGACCAGCTGCACGCAGCAGAAATCTGTTCCTCTCGTTTCGTCCGACCCGAACCGAGCTTAGATGGGCTCGCCGTCAGGGGGCGTGGGGTGGGAGGGGGGACGCGGGAGGGGGACTGGCTCTGGGGAGGGGGACCATCGGCGATACATCGCCGACAGATCGACGAAAGGCTCCCGATAGCGAAGCCGCACACTCCTGGGCGGGACGGTCTATCGGGCCCCTATCGGAGATCAATCGGCGACTGGGCGTCGATGCATCCCCACCTGAGCATATCCCCCTCCAAACGTTGCTCCTGAGGGGGGGGGATCGCGCAGCCTCGCGCCCGCGCCACTCGGGATCTCCCCCCCACCCACCCCAGCCCACCAGAGGCCGCTGACGGCGGTGGACGCCGAGCAGACGGAGCCCCGGCGGGAGGCTATGTCGAAGTACTGCGGCGGAGGCACGCGCCGCACGCTGCAGCAGGCGGCGGCGTCCTTGAAGGACCAGAACGGACGCTATGGCTGGAGCAATCGGGAATTCCTGGGAGATCATGGAACAATCCTGGGGCGAATCGTTATCATGACCTCTTGCCTCTTGCCCCTCTGAGTCCTGAGCGGCGCACAAGCCCCCGCGCGAACCTCGGGCAGGACGGAACCAGCACCGTCAGGCCCATCCCCGTCGCCCCCCCCCCCCCCCCCTGGGCCAGGGTTCCTCAGCGCCACCAGCCTGCCCCCTCGAGGCTGGGGCGGGGGCCGCGAAGCCCGACGGGGAGGGCATCCAGTCCCCCACCCGGAGGGGGGGGCAGGTCGGAGAGCGGGGCTGAGGCTTTCCCCTTGGGGATGGGGATACGTCTGACGATGTTGACCTCGGGCACACAAAGAGCACGATGATAAGAAACAAACGGCCAAAACTTGTAAACTGTTCGGGGACGCGCTGACCAAGGACAATGCGAACCAGGGGCAGTCAGGCTTCGCAGGATCCTGCAGAATCCTGAAGGATTCTGCATGATCCTGCACGCAAGCCTGGGTTTATGCAGCCTTGGCTCTGCAAGATCCTGCATGATCCGGCGCTCTGGCTGACCCCTGTTTGCATTTACCCCCGTCTCAAAACTTCCGAGCGTTTGCGGTCAGAAATGTGCCGTGACTAGCTGCGGCATCACAGCATGCTGGCCGTGGCGCTTAGAACATGTGAGCTCTATGATGCTTCCGTGCACCGAGGTCCCACCAACTCTTCTGCGACGCAAGTTGCGACTCGGGGACTCTTGTGGACTGCTGTCGCTGTTTGGGGGGGCACCCTTCGCCGAGGCAAGCACCTCCAGTGGTACCGAAGACCCACTTCTGGCCCTGACAAAAACTCTGAGCCATTGGCTCGGCACACCGAATACTTCTGTCATGAAAAATAGCGGCGGGGCCACACCTGCCACGGCAACGGCGCTTGGGGACAGTCCTTCTGACCAGTACAACGCCCCGCCTGGCTCAAACGTTATTCGCACCTTAAGCACGCGCCGCCACCGCCGCCATCAGAGACAGTCAAGTTCTGCCATCCGCCGCAAGGGATAATGCACGAAAGTCCCATTTCAGAGAACGCGTGTCATGGACTCTTACTAGAAAAAAATATGTGGACACGTCGGAACCGTGGGTGGGGGGCAAAACATTTTAAGCGCCTGGAAAACCCCTCCTGGACACAGGCCTCTCTAACGCCCCCCTGTGCCCAAAAGGGGGGGATGGGGGGGGGTCGAACCACCCGTCCATTTCCCAAATGCAACCTTATTGGTGTTCGATGGTGTTGTAGAATCCTATTATAACTGGATCCAGCTATAGTTGAATCCTATTAAGGCTCGACCAAGCTCAAACAGAATTCTACCATTGATGGACCAATTTTAATAACACCCTGGCCGTGCCCAAACCAACTCTGATATAATCCTACTACAGTTGGGTCCAACTCAAACTGAATCCAACCAAGGCTCGATCCAGCGTCTACAAAATCGCACTACTGTTAGATCGAGCTCTAATTCATTTCCGTTAGGGTGCCCTCTAGCTCTAAGAGAATATTGCTAAGGCTCGGTCCAGCCATCATAGGACCCTGCTAAGGCTCGATCGTCGTCGTCGTCGTCGTCGTCGTCGCTGCCCGGCGGCGTGAGCGCCAGCGCCGGCGCTCGCCGTCGTCGGCTGCCACCGGGGAGGTGCCAGTGGAGCCTGCTACTCCACGGATCTCAACCCGTAACTTCTGTACACGTATGTAAAATTTCAAGGGGTTTCCAAATCTTGGTCTCGGCGGGGATCTGGAGCTCGGCAAAGCGTAAGGTACCAAACAAGAATGAATACAAAGATGAGAAGACATATCCGTTCTATCAAATCAACGCGTACAGTGTGTGATAAATCACCTCAGCTTCGGACCACATGTGGGAGAGCTCACCACAGGGCCCTGCTGTCTGCTTCAGCCATACAGCTGCAGAAAGGAGAAACACAAAAAGGCACGCACAGACGGTTGTCTTTTTGAGTCTGGGAGGGACGGCCAGAACACACACGCCAAAAACGATTTCACACCAAGGAATTCACATGCCCCAAACCAACTGCACGGCTCTAGGTTTCTAGCTGAGGGGAGGTATGAACTAAACAGAAGAAACAAAGATCATCCTATCGTGGGAGTGGCCACTACTAAGGAGCAACAACTTCCATCAGTACCTGGCCTACTTCCAGGGGCCGGAAAGCAGGAATAGCATCGCAGTCTAAGTCCTCAAGCCAAGCATCATCGTCATCCACTGCGAGGAAAGAGGGAGGGTGTCAAGGCCCTTCTGCTTCCTGTGCTTCTCCGAAATGAAATTCGCATCGTAGATTAGCTTCCGCGTGCCTCTCTGGCGCCGCAGGTTGTAGCTCATCAAGGCCTTCCCTGCGTTCTTGGTCATGCAGTCGCTGAGCCGGGCTCCGCTGCGACACCAGCGCGGGGAGGTAGTTGTCGCGGCCATTCCCCGTTTCAAAGCGAGAACCTCGAGAGCGCTCATCTTTCCCTTCGCGCCTAGGGCGCTGCTCCCTGACCTGCCCAGGGCGTCGAAGACTCCGCGGCAGCCGAGGACCGGGGCCCCCGGTATCCTGAAGCCCGCTTCAGCGCCAGGGGGCCCAGCAGGATCTCACTGAGCGAAAGACGGCGGAACTCTAGCTCTTCTTGTGATCCGCTTGCTGCTTGGACGTCGGCTGCGCTAGAAACCCCGGCGCGCTCTGGGAAGCTTCGCTGACGCCCGCGCCGACAGAGACGCAGGAGCCCCCTTTCTCTGCATGAGGGTGTAGTCCATCATCAAGCTCCGCCCCGCCGCGCGTTCCACGCAGCGACCGCGTAGCCAACTGCGCGCGGGTTCGCGCGCTCATCCATGAGCAGCTCCTCGGTCACCTCGGTCTTCGCGCGACGGAGCCGCTGATTGGCTTGTAGATCGCAGCGGCGCTGCTGCAGGCCAACAGCGTCGACATCTCAGCGCGAATCACTGGAACTCCCTACGTCGCCAACCACGCCAGCTGTCCATGCGCCGCTCGGAGCCGAATGGCCTCATTCGGGGTCACTGCCATTTTTGGGTTCAGGACGCCTCTGAGCTGGCATGTCGATCTCGATGAGCACCTGTGCGTAGTCGACCATGTTCAACTGGATGCGCCCCCGAGGTCTTGCCTGCCATCGCACTCTTGTCTGACGCGAGTCCCACGCATAACGAAACCCTGCGCCCCCCCGACCCCGCCCGCGGGCCAGGTGCAGGCGTTCGAGCGCGGCCGTCGCAAAATCGGAGTGAGTGTCGATGTCAATCACGAAGTCGTCGACACAAGCTACCGCGAGCCCAAGGAGCTGACCCGCTGCGTCTCTCCGACACCATAGACATGGCTCCATCGTCGATTCCTCACAGCCAAGCTGCTCCATATCCTTCCGCGCGCGGGTCCACCATCTCCACGGAGCGTTCACGAGACCGCAGACAGCTTTCGTCAGCCTGATACATGGGCGAATGCCCCAGTCGCACCGCGCCTCGTAGTTACTTGACCGGTTCGGCCAAGACGTTCCAATCCTTGTCTCCGAGATCCCCTTGAAGAAATGCTGCGACGTCCCCCTTGAAGACCTGGAAAAACATGGAGGCGCGCGTAGCCAAGCACGACAAGTCGGGCCTTGAGATCTCCAGATTCTTCCCGAAATATCACCCACCTCATCTTCATGAGAGCTCCAGGGTGCACGCCAGCTCGGCTTTCAGCCTCCCGCACTCAACGCTTGAAAAATGACTTGATCTCGCTGCTCTTCGCGACTGGCAGTTTCGCCGTGTCCTCATCCGTGAGGTACTTGGGCTTCACTTCGGCCTTTTTCGCCTTCGCCATCGTGGCCAGCGTCAGATCTGGTTTCCGATAGGAGTTGGTCCACGTCTGTCGTCCACTGCGATACCGACGAAGATTGCTAGGTTGTTCTCCTGCTCTCCCGCGAAACCTAGCAGGCCGGAGCTCCGGGTCTTGCGCTCGAGCTTCCACGGGGGAATCCAATCGGTGATGCCGCATGCCTCTGGCTCCGACCTCTCGCATTCTGGCACGATTAGCGACGGAGCCTGTCGACTTAGCTGTTTCGCGTGGGTGGAATTTCCGGATCTGGGAATTCTTGCTGTTGAGGAGGTCAGTCACAGGTGTCTCTTCTTCTTAGCGATCGTCTGGCAAGTCTTCTGGGCTCCGAGCGTCCCCCGCTGGAACTCCGCCCTGACCTCCCGGGCACTCTGTTCTGGAAGACGCGGCCTGTCTTGAGTCTTGACCCTCGGGCGCGCCGCCCCAGGCCTCCTGGCCCAGGCGGGCCCGCCAGATCGTCGTATAATCTTCTTGAAGAGTTCGGAACTGCCCACTAAAATATTGCCCAAGGTCTGTTCCGCCTCAGTCGCCGCGCGCATGCAAGCTGCAGTTGCTCGAACCAGGCGATTTCCATCGACCAGCCCCTGGACATGCTCGTGGACAATGTTGGCGCAAAGGGCGGAGGGGCCATCTACGGGCGCGCCCCGACGGGGAACGGCCAATCATCGACGTCATGGGACTGAACCCCGGGTGGCGCAGCAGGTTGCAATTTGCAATTCATGCCCATCTGAAAATCTCCCGAGGCTCGATGTCGCCCGGGAGCTCCCAAGCAACGCGGGCGGCGATCTCTTTCATCGTCCAGATGCATCTCTCGACCACCCCCATGGGCCACTGAGCTTCACCCCGCTCTGGTCCCCACTCCATGCCAGTCCCCGAGGCCCATGCCCGATGCTCCGCCAGTCGAAAACAACCTTCAGGATCAGTCCTGAACACCAAGGGCTTGCCATAGTAGTGAAAACAATGTTTCGGCACGGCGTCTTTCATCTCCCGAGCCGACGTGCTCCCAGTGCTTCTCAGCGTTCTTCCTGCAATGGATGGTACTGTGAATGGATTTGCTGCCGTAGTTTGCACGTAGTGACACGTTGTACCCCGAGCCTGATATTTCCGTCTCGGATGTGTCCAGTAGAAACTGTCACAAACAATATCCAGGACAGGAGGTAGAGAGGGTTCTCCGCTCGCGACCGGTCGTGCTTGAAATCGCTGAGCGGCTCGACATGCTGGACACTCATAGCGCGTGCACAGATCAATGAGCTTCTTGTCTGCTTTCCTGCGTTTCAGAGCTGGGCTCGCCGCAAACGTGCTGCAGTGTCCAACATGCCGATGTATATGTGACATGATGGCTTCCCTGTCGCGCAGCTCTCCCTTGGCACACCCTTCTACGCCCTTCAGTAGAGGTAGGCGCAGATTACCCACCATCGTCTCTTCTGTGGCCGTGGGCGAAGATGCTGTCGAGGTGTCGCCTCCAGGACCTGGCGGCGCTTCTGGCGCGGGATCTGGCTCACTGACCACCGTAGGTGATCCTTCAAAAGGCGCGGGTTCGAGGGTCGGTCTCTCTGGCGTTGGAGGCTCTGGTCCTTGGCGAGCAGGTCGTTTGCCCGCCAGCCCCCGACGCTCTGCGAAGATGGCTTCATCATGCCCGTTGTGGGCCCGAGCTAGATTGGCAAGAGCTGCGTCGGAAATCGTCTGCTTCATAAGTGCCGGGCAATCTTTCGGCACATTTTCACAAGGTCGTTGGCCGAAATAGCCGCTCGGGTACCTCCTTCCAGCGCCAGATGCAATGTAGTTCGCGGCAGGCGCGCACTACCTCAGGGTGGAACTGCTCGCCCGTGGCCGCGATGAACCACTCCCTCCGAATCAGTGCGCCGCTCGGCTCGCCCCTCGCGCCACACACGCAGCCGTGGATCATGCGCCCACGCAGGTGGGGCTCGAGATTTAAAGATGCCCTACCAGGAGCGACTCCTCCCATATTGCTCATGATAGACGTCGCAATGCCCTTCGTTCCGGAGCTGGTCGATGGCCCGCCTGACGATTCGCTGGGCGCGCCGCGTCATGGGCCTCCGCTCCTCGGACTCCTCGGCGGCGACACAAGCTCTGCCGCGGGCACTCGGCTCCGCTAGGCGGGGGGGCGCCAGAACCAGATTCTGAGCGGCCGCTTGTCACCTGGGATCTGGACGAGATTCTCAGCTCCGCTGCGAGTGGGAAAATCGGACCCATTCCAATTGCTGAAGCGCTCCGCCTTGCCACCGGCGTTCAACGTAGCGTTCGTGGGCCCGGAGTCAGACGCGCGCGCGACTTCCGCGAGGTCAAGCCGTCCAAACTTCTCGGCTGCCTCCCAGGCGGCAACGGGCATCTCGCCCAGATCCGCCTTTGCTGCCAGCAGAACTCCAAGCATTGACTGCTTCGCGCTGCGGGCCAGTCCCCAACGGCTGGCATCGCGGACCTCGGGGCTCCTGGCGGCGTCGGCAGATCCTGCGCCGCGGCCGCTGCCGCCGCCAACTGAGTGGGGTCGATTGCCTGCCTCTTGCCGGGCCGATTCCGGTCGTCCATCTTGCAGGGCAGGGTCTCGGACTCGCTCGTCGGAATGTCGACGAGACCCTTTTGCGCGATCTCCTGAGCCAGTTGAATCTGCTCCTCCTGGCGGATCTTGCCCCGCTCACTCTCGATGACCATCTCCAGAAAATATTGGCGGATCTTGGCGCGCGCGGACTCGGCGATCTGCCCCGACTCCACGTCGGCGAGCTTCCTGGTCGCTTCCGCCGCCAGGGCGCGGGGCAGATTCTCGCTGGCCCCGCTTGAGCGCTGAGCTCTCCAAATTTGACTCGGGGCTCGCCGACGGCACCGGCGAAGGCCTCGCCCAACATGCGTTCTCGAGCCTCCTGAAGTGCCGCCGGGAGCGATGACGCTAGTCGACCTGTTCGTTCTTGACCATCTCGAACAGGCGCATGAAGATGACCTCGCCGCAGCCCCTGCATTTGATTTGCTCCATGCAAAAGTTCGACCCCTGATGAGTCTGGCAGGGATGTCGGCATTGTCGCGCCATGAACTGCCCCGGGCAGGTCGTCGCTGAATTATCCTGGCTCAGGAGTCGCTTGAGATAATGCAAGTATCAGATGCATCGAAATCCCATGCCATCGAGACTGTTCGACTTGTCTTGCGTTCTTCGGACTCCGGATCAGATCGGCGGCGAAGATGCGATCCGTCTTCTCGAATAGCGCGGGGACAGCGTTTCCTCGATGGCGCGGTTACGTTCGACTCTGAAGAAAATCGCGAGGGTCACATCGCTGGAACGAACTCGTCAATGCATTCGACATGCCGTGTGGGGATCCTTTATCCATGTCCCGGCTAACCTGGGCCCCTTCCTCCCAGTTGGCCCGTTCTCCCATATAATACTTAAAAGCATGGGATGAGTTGAGGGCGGGGGGTCTGCATCAAGATGCTGCTTATGAAGAGCTTCTGGAATACTTTGGGGAGGCTCTCTGCGTCGCGAGGCCCCCAATCGCGACGGATGCGAGCGGCGGCTTTTCCGCGATCCGTTTATCGCGGACACGGTGCTGCCCCGATTCGCTGTCCTTGCTCGAGGCCCCTTGGCCCTGGAGAGTCAAGCAGAGGGCCTAGTGTCCTGGCGGCAGCGCCTCGGGGAATCTGTCGCTGGAGCCGACGAAAATATACAGCATCCCCATCGTGGCCGATCACCGGAGCAAGCTATTTCAACGCGCCAATCTGAACAAGACTCAGCTACAGCCTACGGCCTACAGCCTGGGCTTCAGCTCTGCTGGGGGGTTGGCCGGGGCGGCTCTGCCGGGGAAAAGGGGGGGGGGGGGGGGCGCTCTGCTTTCCGGGGGGGGGGGGGGGGGGGGGGGGGGCCAGGGCTCGTCGCGGCTGCCGCGCGCTTCCGGGAAGGGCGCCGTTTGACGCCCCATCGCGAGGATCGTGGCCCCGAGGGGGTCTCGAACTCGAGCGCCCCCCCCCCCCCCCCCCCCCCCCCCCTTCCCCAAGAAGCTCCCGAGAGGCCCCCAATAGGCGCCAAGCAGCTCCCAAGAGGCCCCCAACTATTTCCAAGAGGCCCCAACGAGGCCCCCAAGGGGGCACAGAGTGGCCCCAAGAAGCCCCGCAACTGCCCAAGAGGCCTGGGGGGGCCTCAGTACTGCCTCCCAGAGGCCCCGAAGAGGCCGACCACGAGATCCCAGCCAGAATCCATGAGGCCTCTGACCCACTGCTCAGGCACGGTGGCGGGATAGGCCGAAGGCGTATGAGACTCCCAGGCTCAGACTGGCATTGGCCTCCATCGGGTCGACGAGTAGATCACCGATGTACTGCAGCTGCTCGACTCTTCCCACCGATCGAGAGGCTTCGCCGCCCAGCAGCGCGCGCCCCTTGCACTCCTTCATGCTGAAGGCCAAGAAGTCGTTGTGATCTGACTCGATATGATGCTGCTTCGTCTCCTTTTCATCGGCGATGCTGGCCGCATGGTCGGAAACACCGACGAAACTGTTGAAGGCGCGCTTCCTCTCGGCTCGGCTACCTCCGCTGCCCCGATTGGGGCAGCCCTTCGCTCGATGACCCAAACCGCCGCAGAATAGGTACGCGTCCATCCTCGGCGGGGTCCGCGAGGGCACCGATGCCAGACCCTGGCCTCGGCCCGGACCTCCGCGGTCTTTGCCGCAATCTTTGCCCGTGCCCTTCCGCGGTGGACCTCAACGGCTCACAGAGCGACCGCGTCCACTGCCGCCTCCAGACTGCGAGGGCAGAGCATGGTAGGCCCCCATCCCGACCACTAGGAAATAGCATCTGGCATCCTTCACCTCGTTGATCAGCTTCCTGGCCTCCGCGAAAAACCACGAAGCCGCGCATGCCGTCGGGGCCCACTCGTCGTTCACGTGCTCCGAGGGAACTATGGCCACCGCCAGAACTTCACCCGTCTGCTCCACTTCGCCCTGTTGTTCATCACCGAACGCAGCGGTCTTCGCGTTCTCCGCGGCCGCCAGGGCGGTCTCTGTCATATTGGCCGCGACGCCAAACCCATCGTGGCACGTTTCGTCGTAGATTTCCTCGGCGTACGCCGCAAGCTCCTCGGCGCGATCGGGATCTTCGAAGATTGCGTAGGCACCCTTCATGGCCGTGTATAATTCTGCTTGTCGCGGGCTGCCAGCTGGTCATCTGGCCACTGTTCCGACAGTGCCTTCCTCACGTCTTTGTAGAGGTACGGGTTGCCTTTTTCATCCTGACGTCGCGAACACCGCCGCTTGCTCCGAGAGATCCAGACACATGCCATCCAAAAGTATGAGTCCCAAGAAAAACTCGTGCATAGCACCTTCCGCTGGAAAATCCTCGCGCACCGCATAGAGGGACTTCCCCACTTTGATCATCGTAGCATCAAAACGCGAAACCCATTTCTTTGGTCCTTCACATGGATGCCGGTACACACCTCGCATAAACTTTCTCCACTTAGATACAGCTTCCTTCCTGTATGGTGACCGTACCGTGCCTCGTATCCCTTTGAGTGCAGCAACGACCGTTTCGGCTCCATCTTCATCAAGCCATCGAAGCTGACCTTCTTGGCATCTTGCCACTGCTGAATGTCACCACCCATCGCCTGCACAAGCCTGGGTCCAAGGTAGTTCTCCATTCCAAGTGGGTCTCTTGACTCCGGCTGACTGTTCAGACGCCATAATTTCTATACGATTTGGAGATGAGGTCCACATAACCGAAGTGGGCCACTGCTCGCTACCAATGTCAATCGAGCGTGCTATTCCACGGATCAGCCACTAACCTCGGGACATCAATATACGTATGTCGATTATCCAGTGGTCCAGATATTGGTCTCGGCGGGGATTTGGAGCTCGCCAGAGCGTAAGATACCAAACAAGAAACAATACAGCGATTGGAAGATATACCCGTTCTACCAACTGATCACGTGAGGGAGAGCTCACCACAGGGCGCCGGTGGCTGTTTCAGCCAGACAGCTGCAGAAAGGAGAAACACAAAAAGGCACCTGCATGCGGTTGTCTTACAGGGCCTGGGAGGGACGACCAGAACACACACGCCAAAAACGATTTCGAACCATGAAATCCACAGGAAAGGGGGGGGCGGTTCGCACCCCCCCGCCTCACGCCTTGAAATTCAGGAGGGCCCCTCATCCGCGGTTCGAACCCCCCCTCGAGAGGGGGGTGATGGTCAGATTCTCCCCTCCCCCTTGCAATTCAGGGGGGGGTGACCCTCCCAGCGTCCACAGAACGTGCTCTTCCCTAGATTAGAAAAAAAGTTGGCGCCCAGATGAACGACGAGCCCTAGAGGAAGATACCTCGAGGGACCAAAGGAAAATCAAGCCAGCCCATTCCGAAACCAGAGTGCACTTTACCCTGAAACTATGACTGTAATCTTGGTTCTTGCGGCACGACCCAGGGGGAAGGGAGAGGGGGCCAGTCTTCTGAGAAGGCGGTCGTGGTGGGGGTCCTGCGGAATCCTCCCGCTTTCTGAGAGGCCTTCCTGAACGGCCAAAGGAGGCCTCCCAGAGCACGAGAGGGCTTCTAAGCACCCGCCCACCACCGCCTTCTTAGAAGGCAGGTCCCTTGTCCCTGACCCCCTGGGAGCGCCGCGAGGACAGGCGAGCGAGAGAGGAGGAAGAGGAGGAGGAGGAGGACGACGACGAGGCGCGAACCTCTCGTGCATCTCCCTGGTGTCCTCTCTGCGATCGAGCCTGGCACCGTCCTCGGAGCCCGCCCAAATGGGGCCAGAGCAGATGGAGCTGGAAGGTCGCGCTGCATCCGCGGCGCCACAATTGGAGAGGAACGGTAAGACGGGGGACATCGGCCCTGAACCGGCGATGCATCGACCTGGATACATCGGCCATGGACCGTCGACGGCGAGACCGCACGCTGCTGGGCGGGGGTGGAGGAGCACACGGGCCCAGATGGGCGACAAAACGGCGATTGGGGGTCGATGTTTCCCCAGTCCCTCTTGGCCAGTCCCCACACGCCGGCGTCCCTGATGAACACGGGAAAACCAAGCCCGGGACGGCGCCGCACCGCCGAGGGACCGCCGACTCTCCGACGCCATCTGTTCCCCAAAGACCCGATGTCTTGGTCTTGCCGTGTTCCGGTGCTCGGGAGCCGTGGCCACTTCCGCAGGGCCCGCCTCTCGCCCCGAGCCGTTTCTGTTGACGGCCCCGGGGCCCGCCGAAGGCCGCCCCACAGAGGTCGAAGAGGGCCACAAATCTGCTGCCCTGCTCACTTGCTCCGCGGCGCGGGGGGGGGGGGGACGGATCCCGTCTGCCAGGGCCCCACTTCGGCGGCCTGGGGGTCCTCGGGACCCTGTGCTCGGCGGCGTGGCGCGGGGGCCGGGGGCCGCGGAGCTGCGCGCGGCAGGCCGCTTCGTACGCGTCGCAGCTGGCGGCTATGAGGTCCAAGGCCACGCCCTGCGCCAGGAGCCAAGCTGTGGCGTTGACGCTGGCCTGGGGCAGCAGGGGAGAAAGAGGGGAAGGTGGGGGTGCTAGTGTTCGGAGGAGGAGGAGGAGGAGGAGGAGGAGGAGGAGGAGGAGGAGGAGGAGGGGGAGGAGGAGGAGGAGGGGGAGGAGGAGGAGGAGGAGAAGGAGGAGGCGGAGGTTGGAGCGTCTGGGGGTGGCCATCGTCTTCATGCTGAACTAGGGCCGACGAGGCCGCCTGCGGCCAGATTTGCCGAGGGGCAGGTCGATGTAGGGCGGCTCTCGCCAGGCTTTGGGCGGCCTGCTGAGAGAATGGGATTGGGTGGACCTTGCTCTCTTGGTGGGCCAGCCGGTAAAGCTGAAAATAGAAAGCGGTGAAACAAAAAGCTTCGGGGCTGGGGTGGATCAGACCAAGAGCCAGGAGGGGGTCTATAAAGGGGGCCGCAGGAAGATCCGCTCGGAGATGCCGCAGAAAGGAGGCGGAGGCGGAGGAGGAGGAGGAGAGCAGAGGAGCTCTGATCAGGCTGGCGAGGAAGGCCGTTTTCGGCTTGGTTAGGTTGGGTTTCCCTTCGAGGAGCCAATCTCTGACCACTCCAAAGAGCCGCCTCCGTTTTGGTCTGGTCAGTGCCCCCCCCCTGAGCTACGGGCCGCCGTGAGGAACCCATCAGCGTGTTTTCGCTGAGGAAGAGCACCAGGTCTTCGGACAACAGCGAAGGAATAACAGGTTGACGGGTTCCCAACGGTGGCGTTGGACTGATGCTCGCTTTCCCTCCCGATGAGAACAAGAATCTCTGGACGAACACTTCGAACCAGGTTCTCTGTGGTTCTCCAGGGGAGTCTTCTGGCCGCGCTTCGCGCGCCGAGAGAAGGGGGGGCCAACGCCGACCCAAGAATTCCGCGCGGACCTCAGAGAACGTATGTCTACGTGTCCGCTTTGCTCCTCGCGCCGCCTGCAGATACACGAACACCCGCGAGCCGTCCGAGCCGGAGATCGGATCCAGGCGGCGGATCACCTGCCCGATCGGGTGGACGGGGGGGAGAAGGGAACTCGAGAAGCACGGCGAGAGCGAGGAAAATAACGACGACACCGATGACGACGCCGACGACAAGGACGGCGAGGACGATGCCGACCAGGATGCTGCAATCTGTAGGACAACTATCTGAAACTCTGGGACCCAAGGGCCCTGCAGTTTCCCGACAACGGGCAGACAGGAGGAGAAATGGGAGGAGGAGGAGGACGACGACGACAACGGATAATTAGGGGGAGGGGGACGGAGAGGGGGAGGACGAGGAGGAGCACGACAATGACAACTCCAGCGTTGACCTGTCCGACGACGACGACAACGACACCCTTGGGCGTCCTGCCCGATCACTACGACGACGCGGAAGAAGGCCGAGGAGAAGGAGGAAGAAACGGGCGGAGGATGGAGGACGAACACCACAGATGAGAAATGCCTGACGTAGCACCCCGACGTTACGCATAAGAGTGAAGGGGCGGCGGTGTCGTCGGCAGTCTGCGAAGATTTGAAAACAATCCGCCGCAGGCGCCGAATTTTCGATAAAGCAATATGGGTGGGTCGCGGGTGGGTCGAGGATGGATCGAAGATGGGTCACGGGGATGTTCGTGGGGTGGGTCGCATGGCGGGTCGCGGGCGAGGACGACGACGATGACAAAAACAACAACACCAACACCAACACCACCACCACCGACAACCACAACACCAGCAGCAAAAACAACAACACCAACAAAAACATTAGCATTAACACCACAACACCAACAGCAACAACAGCAACAACATTAACATCATCAGCACCGTCATCAACAGCAAAAGCAACACCATCAGCAACATCAGCGACAGCATCAGCAGCCCACACAACACCAACAACAAAGCCATTAACGACACCACTAACACCAACACCAACAACACCAACACCAACACCAACACCAACAACAACAACAACAACAACAACAGCAGCAGCCACACCAGCAGCCAAACCAGCAGCCACACCAGCTACAATAACAACAACAATCAGCTTACCCGAACGCTCTATGACTTTTATCTGCAGCATGTACCCATCATGATAGCTCCCCCCTCATGGGGGATAGTTTCTTGCACATGGGGGGCGATATGCCCTTACCCAAATCTCCCGCCCGAGGACGTCTTGACAGTATTTCTTCCGAGGCACTTCAGCATATCCATCTCGGATGGCACATCGCCTTCGCAATCGTCCTGCCTACGCCTTGCTTCAACGTGTCACCACGCCCGAGTGGCCCAACACCTCACTGGGAGAGACCCCACAACCTCTGGGAGAGCCCCGAGAGCCCCTGGGACAGCCTCTGGAGCTCCTTGGAGAACCCTCACAGCCTCTCAGAGAAGCTTCAGCCCCCCTGTGGGAAACACGAGGGCCTCTGGGAGACGCTTGAAAACTGAATTGGAGGATGTCGGGGCATCTTGCAGAAGGCCTCAAGGCAGAAGAGGATGGAGCAAGTGGAGGAGGAGGAGGAAGAGGAGGAGGAGGAGGAGGAGGAGGAGGAGGAGGAGAGGAGGAAAAGGAGGACGCCGAGCAGGAGGATATGAGATGAGATGAGATGAGATGAGATGAGATGAGATGAGATGAGATGAGATGAGACCAATCGCGAAGCGAATCAAAAATAACACCTGGCCTGGCCTCAGCACGCGAACACGCCGAAGGGGTACATGACGACTACCCCGAACTGGTTCTTAAGCTGAGGCCACCATACACCAAGTAAACACGTCACATCTGCTTGCAATCAGGGTTGGACGGCAACGCTCCCGACATGCCAACAGATGGGGCGGAAGGCTCCGCGGCTGCCACGGCTGACAGCGCCGCCCCCGCCTCCGCACAAATCCTGTTGATCTCGTCGCGCTGGGCTGCCGCGATCGCCCGCCCATCGAGAGCGGCTCCGCCATGACTACCATGATCAGCACCACCCCCACGAGGAAAGAGCGCTCCCAGAAGAGGAGCTTTGTCCTCATAGGCACCTCCACCAGCACGAAAATCACCTCCTGTTCTATGGTGGCCTCTGGCTGCCGCCTCTGCAGCTGCCGTTGCCGCCTGCGCAGCCGTAGCCGCCTCTGCCCGCATAGCGGCGGCCTTGACCACTCGAATCCTCTTGATCACATCTTCCACCTCGCCGGGCTCCTGCGAAAATTGAAACACTCCATCGCCGAAAGGCTCCCTCGCCGTATCCTTTTCACACACACAAAGGTCCCAGCGCTGCAGCTGATCGCGTCAGGCTCAATCGCCGCCTCCCTGAACTCACACGCGCTGTTCCCAGAGTAATTGGTATACAAGGAGTACTGACTAGGGATAACGGGCTCTATATTCGCCTTCTTCTTCTCACGCGCCCTGATCGCACCGCTGTAGCTGGTCACGTCGGGCTCTATCTTCGCATCCAACTTCCCGCGCGCGCTATCCCCAGAGCTGTGGCTAGAGATACTAGCAGGCTCCAGTTTCGCCTTCCTCTTCTCGCACGCCCTGATCGCAGCGCTGCTGCTGAACGTGTTGGGTTCTACCTTCGCCCCCAACATCTCGCACGCGCTATCCCCAGAGCTGTGGCTAGAGATACTAGCAGGCTCCAGTTTCGCCTTCCTCTTCTCGCACGCCCTGATCGCAGCGCTGCTGCTGAACGTGTTGGGTTCTACCTTCGCCCCCAACATCTCGCACGCGCTATCCCCAGAGCTGTGGCTAGAGATACTAGCAGGCTCCAGTTTCGCCTTCCTCTTCTCGCACGCCCTGATCGCAGCGCTGCTGCTGAACGTGTTGGGTTCTACCTTCGCCCCCAACATCTCGCACGCGCTATCCCCAGAGCTGTGGCTAGAGATACTAGCAGGCTCCAGTTTCGCCTTCCTCTTCTCGCACGCCCTGATCGCAGCGCTGCTGCTGAACGTGTTGGGTTCTACCTTCGCCCCCAACATCTCGCACGCGCTATCCCCAGAGCTGTGGCTAGAGATACTAGCAGGCTCCAGTTTCGCCTTCCTCTTCTCGCACGCCCTGATCGCAGCGCTGCAGTTGATCTTGTTGGGCTCTACCTTCGCCCCCAACTTCTCACACGCGCTGCTTCTAGAGCGGTGGCTAGGGATAACGGGCTTTAACTTCGCCACCTTCTTCTGGCAGGTCCAGATCGCAGCATTGCAGTTGTACGTATCGGGCTCTGTCGTCGCCTCCGACTTCTCGCGCGCACTGTCCCCTGGGCTGTGGTTCGGGATGACGGGCACTAAGAAAACTTCAAGGCTTCTGGGATTCTTCACTTGAACAAAAAACGGAGCAATATCAAACCAGAGCGTCGTTTTTTGCAAGGGGGACGCTTGCGGCGCCGAGGCGGGGGCGAACAAAAAAACATATAATCACGAGCAGGAGCACCTGTTTTGTTGGAAAGCCGCCTTTCGGCGCGAGCAAAAAGCCCCAGCCCCGATTAGAAAAGGAGGAAATGTCGAGGGGGAGCGCGCTGTTGTTGTGGTGGTGGTGGTGGTGTATGTTGCTGATGTTGCTGAACTCTCACTACTGAAGAATAAAAGTTCATGATCCCCCGTTCTGGTGCACATTGTATGTTTCAATTGAAGTGCCCCTCCCGGCGCTCGCACCCAGCTTTTTATCAGGGATCCCAGGAGCCTCGCGGTCAGGGCAGGAAGGACCGTCGCCCCAGCCGCGCAACCGTCCTTCCTGCCCTGACCACGAGGCTCTTGGGTAACATATGAGGTCCTCGAGCCCTCGCCTAACCCATGACGTACTCAGCGGGGAAGATTCACTGATCTCCCAGGCCGTGCCACTTCAACGCGCCGGGTCCAGCTCGCCCAGAAGACGGTAGTGATCACGTAGCAACCCCACCGCCCTAGCTGAACTCGGCCTTCGCTCGGTACCAAGGCAGGCCCCAACCCGCGACACGTGTTTTCTTCCAGAACGCGATGCGAATGACCGAACAAAACATCAGAACCGCGAGCTTCAATACCCACTCCATGATTAGATAACGAACGTACTCCCAATGGCCCTCAAGCATGTACTCGCCGAGGGTGTTGACCAACCCCATCCCGAACTTGATCAACAGGTTCAGCGAAGCGCCGAGGGTGCACCCGAGCTACTCCCAGAACTGGGATGTGAGGGGGCTGAAGCGGTCCTCATAATCTTCATCCCCATCCGACTCCGCGGCGGGTCCAGGCGCGCTCTCGCCCTTGCCTTGCCGCGGAATGAAGGCCGCCCGCTGCCTCCTGGGCGGGGGGGCCGTCATGGGGGCATCGCTCCGCCGTTTGGGTTTGCTCTTCCGCCTCTGCCTCAAGCCCATCTGTTCACTGGCATGTCCGTCGTGGCGCTAGAAGCTGACGAAGTTTGTCATCCGAGTGCGAGTGGTTGGAGCTCGGAGTGATGGCTTCGACGAGGTGCTGGCCGCATCGTCCCCTGCTTGGCCTCCTGGTCCGCCAGGAGCTGGGATTTCAACCCATTGGGCATCCTTTTCCCCGATCTCTCCTGCAGGTCGCCGCGGGTATGTAGAGGCCGCCTCGCACCCCACATCCTCTCCTTCGCAGCCCTCCTCAGGCGCCCCGCCTGAAGCACGATTCGCCTCCGCTGCAAGGCCCCACGCTATTTCACGGTCGGCATCAACCCAATGCTGGTCGTGCTGGGCGTGCTCGAACCTGACCTCCGCTGCGAAGCCACCGTAGAAGCCCACGCCCGGCGATGGTCCGAACCACCTCGCCGCGATCAGCACGAACATCGCGATCGCGCACTCGAGAAAGGCAGCCCTAGCCAGCATGACAAAACGCCCGAACGCCTTTCCTCGCCCTGCCTCCTCGGGCAGCGCACCGCTTTCGTCTTCGCGTGAGTGAGGCTCCTCAGCTGGGCCCGCGCACCGCCGCCGCAGCAGCGCACGCGCTTCGCTTGCGCCTGGGGAGCGCATGGCGAGCTTCGGCTGAACCACGCTCGAATGCACGTGCTATCGCCGCGCCGACCCACCCCGAAAGGCGGAGGCCCCCCATTGGGCCCAGTGCGGAGGTCCTTCGGGAGCCAGAAAGTCCTGAGCACAGAAGACAAGAGGCGACGGAGAGAGAGGGGACATGGTGCGGCTCGGGCACGCTGACCAAAACCCGACTGGATAACCAGCGATCCAGTAGGATGGGAAAGGACGAGGAGGACGAGGAGGAGCAGAAGGAGGAGGAGAAGAAGGAGGAAGAGGAGGACGAGAAGGGGAACAGGAGAAGAGACGAGGGTGGGCGCCAGTAGGAAGGTCAGCATCTGGAGGAGAGGAGAGGACAGGAGAGGAGGCGAGGGCCAGCGTCAGGGTCAGTGGGAGGGGAGAGGCAGAGAAACAACAAGAGGATGAGGACGACGACGGTGGCGACGGCGCCGTGTGGCCACCTGCCCGATGACCAGGCTCTTGGCCCGGATCGGCTCGCAAGCGGCGGCCGCGATCTCGGACAACCAGGCCCCCCACGCGTCCGCGAGGCCCCCGCCCTCTGCTGCGTCTGAAGGGGGGGAAGGGGCAAAAGCCTACTCCTTCTCCTCCTCCTCCTCCTCCTCCTCCTCCTCCTCCTCCTCCGCCTCCCCCTCCTCCTCCTCCTCCCTCCTCCTCCTCCTCCTCCTCCTCCTCCTCCTCCTCCTCCTCGTCCCGTGGACCCCGGGCCTCCACCTGGCCCTCGTCCTCCTGCTCGCCTTCGTCCACAGAGACAAAAAAAACTGCGCGAGCATACGCCACCGTGCTTCTGGGCACGGAGTGGGCGTGTCCTCAGGTCCTTTGCTAACCCCTGGAGGCTCAGTGCTCAGCCCTGCGGAGTCTTTAAGGGGGACCGCACATTCCGAATTTCGGCGGGGCCCCCGGCGTGGCCCCTAGGCGTCTCGGTGTCGCATGATTGCTCGAGCCCAAGAAGCCCTCCAGACGGTCCAAGATGGCCCCGAGACGCCCAATGCTCGTTCCAAGGCGTGCAAGATGGCCCCACGACGGCCCAAGAGGCCGCCAAGACACCCCGAGAGCCTCCAAGAAGCCGACCAAGAGAGTACCGAGAGGCAAAACGTTTTGATTTCCCTTAGGTTTTTGACAGGCTTCGGCCTTCTCGCCTTTTCGGTTTCCTGACGCTCCCGGACGGACGCAGAGGCCCAAAGGACCGCCCCAAGACGGCCCAAGAGGCGCTCAAGATGGCCCAAGAAGGCCCCGAAAGGGACCCGAGAAGGGGAACAGCAACCTAAAATCCGAGCCTTCCGCCCCAAGACGCTCCCAGGAAGCCCCAAGAGGCGCCCAGGAGGCCCCGAGAGGCCCCCAAGAGGCCCCCAAGAGGCCCCAAGAGGGCCAAACACGGCCCCCAAGAGGCGTCCAAACTGTCTCCAAGAAACCCTATCCAATAGGCTTCACTACCACAACCCAGGCACGGTTGCAGGATGGGCCGAAGGCCATCAGATCCGCCGCCCCCTTTTGATTTATCAAAGGGGTGCCTGGCGTGCCGAACGATATGGGTTTTGGTTTTGGTTCTCTTTCCAGAAAAGAACTCCCCCTGGGGTTTCGGCCCGTTCCGCCGGCCACCCGGAAAAAAATATTTAGGAGCTCGATCCGGAACAAAATCTTCCAAGATGGTTCAAGATGGCCTCCAAGATGGACACGTTGGCCCAAGATGGCCTCCAAGATGGTCCTAGATGGCCTCCAAGTCCGCCCAAGATGGTCCAAGACGGCCTCCCAGACGACCCAAGAGGGTCCAAGAGAGTCCAAGACGGCCCAAGAGGCCCCCCAGAGGCCTCCAAGACGGCCCAAGAGGCCTCCAAGAGGTCCTCCAGGGGGGCCCGAAGAGACCAAAATCTTTCCAAAGGTTTTTGACGGATTTTGGAATTTGCTTCTTCTCTGCATCCCGACGGCTCAGGACGGCCCAGGAGGCCCCCAAGATCGCTCAAGAGGCTCCCAAGAGGGCCCTAAGACGGCCCAAGAGGCCTCCAACACGCCCAAGATGGCCTCCAAGACGCCCAAGATGGCCTCCAAGACGGCCCCGAAGCGCCCCAAGAGGACCCCAAGTCGGCCCAGAAAGGCCCCGAAGACTGCTCCCGACGGCCTCAGACGTGCCAGGAACCCACCAAGATGGCCGAAGTTGGCTCGAAACTGGCCCAAAACCGCCCAGGAGGGCCTCTCGGAAGGCCAGAAAAGGCCAAACACATTGATGTTCCGTGATGCACGAAACGCGGTTATGTTCGCGTCCCCTCGGGCGACCTGGAGAACAGGACGAACGGTGAGGCATTCAGCCCCGACTTGTCCGACGCCATCACACTGCGCATCATCCTTGGTTCCCTCGTCGATGTCTGTCGAGACGGCTTCGTATTTTTGTTTGCCTCGAACGACATCATTGACCGCCTCGGTCGCTAAGCCATGAGGCCATGCCTCTTCAAGGTGGCACGGAACATCTCAATCGACCAAACATTCTGGATAATCGCGTTCGCACAAAAATTACAGCAAAAGTCTACTGGATAATCTCGACAGTACATCAGGGGAGCCCCGATGATTTTTCTTGGCGCGCTTGTACAAGCACAGTCCTTTGCCTCCCACCCTATTTCGACCCCAGCAGTTGCGGCAACTCGTGACAGTTTTAGAATGACGCCCATCGAATCCCACACGCTAGTGGTGAATTGCGCATTTCTCTCAACCCCACGCGGTCACGCTCAGCCGTCCAGCGCTGTGAGCTGGAGTGAGCAGTGTGCCCTCACACACCAGAGTCAGCAAGTGTACAATTCCCTGGCTGCGGGTTCTAGTAGCAAGATACGTAAAACATGGAACGGCTGTTTCTATTGTCGATGCGCATCCCCATCAACATTCGAAATTGCCATAGCTCCTCGGCCGATGAGAAAGTCGCCGTCGTCGTCGTTGTCCTCCCCCTCGTCCTCGTCGACGTCCTCCTCCTCATCATCCTTGTCCTTATTCTCGTCCTCCTCCTACTCATCGTGCTCCTCCGAATTGTTCATCATGCGTCCCCTCAACATGTGTTCAACGATCTGGGGGCCAAAAAAAAAGGCGGAAAGGGGGAATACGTTTTTTGCCTGTCATATCACAACGAGTGCAACATCATGTCAACTCTGAATGGAAGGATTCTCAAAGCAACTACATGTCAACACGATTGCAATATTATCGGCATTATCTTGGTCTTGTGATCCTCCTTTGGTCTCGGACTGAGTATGCCCAACTGTTCGGGCACCCCTGGTCCAGTTCGCCCTCAGCGTTTCAGCGCGTGGTTGGCCATCCTCTTCAGGACCTGCCACAACCAACCACACGGGGCAGGCCGACGCTGTCACGAACGACATCCCTGTTTCCTCTGGGTCTCCTTCGCACACACCAAAGTTGCGAGAAAATGTCAAGCAAAGTTATTGGAACCTGCTGTTTTGGCTTTCAAAGAAGGGAGGGAACAACTGCCCCTTCTTTCGTGACACCGTCGGCACCTGGCGAACTGGCCGCAGGTGCCCCCTTTTTCTTTGAATGTCTGACCCCCCGCCCCCGTGACCAGAGCACTGACTGGAGCACAGGACGGCGGAGCCGACTTCACAGCAGGCATGCCGGAATCTCTCTGACTGATGGGAAAAAGGCTGCGCCGCCGAAGACGAGCTCCTGGAGAGTTCCGGCTGGTAACCCGTTATTTGCCTGTCATATCACAACAAGTGCAACATCATGTCAACTCTGAATGGAAGGATTATTAAAACAACTACATGTCAACACGACTGCAATGTAATCGGCATCATCTTGGTCTTGGGATCCTCCTTTGGTCTCGGACTGAATATGCCCAACTATTCGGGCACCCCTGGTCCAGTTCGCCTTCAGCGTTTCAGCGCGTGGTTGGCCATCCTCTTCAGGACCTGCCACAACCAACCACACGGGGCAGGCCGACGCTGTCACGAACGACATCCCTGTTTCCTCTGGGTCTCCTTCGTACACACCAAAGTTGCGAGAAGATGTCAGGCAAAGTTATTGGAGACTGCTGTTTTGGCCTTCAAAGAAGGGGGGGGGGACAACTGAAGATGCGGGGCGACGCATGGTCGGGAACTTTTGCTTAGCGTGCCGCGACGAGCGCCCCGCCGACCAACTGCGTCGCGCGAGGGATGGCACGTCGCTCCGCTCCGCGAGGCGGGAGACCGGGAATGGCTCGGGACGTTGGCGCTTAGGGATCAGGACATGGATTGCATGTCGCGCCGACGCGTGGTGGGCTAGGACTGGCGGCGCGACGCGCTAAGCTGAAGCTCCTGACTGCGAAGGGAGAAGGACGACCTCCTTCCCTCTGATGCAGTGACGCGCTGCAGTGTCCTCTCGAGAAATGGGACCTCCCATCGACGCAGGTCTTGATGGATTTGCGGGTGAGTGCCGCGCCGTCCACAACATACTTACGCGTAGAAGCTGCTTTTAGATGGAGGACTGCCATCAGAAGGCCCCTATGCTCGCCGTCAACGGCCGTCTGGTCTCCGAAGGGCGGTAGACCACCGTAAATGGCGCGCTTGCGTGAATTGTCTTCGTTCAATTCTACTGCAGAAGAACCCGCTCTGGCTCGGTGGCGGATCTCGGGGTCGAGGCAAGGGCCGTCCGCGAAGATCTCGCCATTCGGTTCAAACTCGAAAGGGGCACGTGGCCCATTCGCATCAACGCAGCGGGTATCCCATGTTTCCAATCGAGGACCTAGTTGGACTTTTCCCACATAACAAGTCCATGACCGGTGATACTGGGCACCGACTTCCAAACAATACGGACATGTGGTTTGGAGATCATAGCCCCAGCCTGAGAGAACCTTACCTGTAATGAGGGAGCCACAAACATAGCGCCTCAGACAAATGCATTCGTCTGGTGCGAGGCTTTTCCTGGCGCGCCGAAGCCCCCATGCGGACCTGCGCCCAGTCCACGCCCCCTTCCTGGCAATCTGGCAGAGGAGGGGGCGGGGGGGGGCGCCCAGTTCGGCGCCTTCAGCCTGTCGGGACTGCTGATCTTTCAAATCGTCCGTAAACTGCTTGGCAACTGCGGCTGGCGGAGTCTCCAGAATGTCAATGCTGGGAGCAGCTCTGGGGCGGAGCGCGGTCGGGTTGTCAAAGCGCCAACCCGCTGTCTGCAGCCAAAGAAACATGTCGGATATGGGCCCATGCTGAGCGCCCTCGCCAAGAAGTGTTGGCCGACTCTTGAAACTTCTTTGGCGCTGCCGCGAAGAGAGACTTAAACTCCTCCGCAGCTAGCCCATACGCGCGCATGTCGAGTTCTTCTCTCCCTGCCGTTGCTCTCCGCCGCTCCATGCAATGCCGCTCAAACGTGCTGGCTACTAAGATGATCGGGTGGGGAACTTCGTGCACCTGCCACCGCGCGTCTGTGCGAGCTCCTTTCAACTGGTGCCCTGCATCAACCCTAGCCATTGACCGAAGCCTATCTCCGTGGGCGCGCAGCCATGGACCTTGCCACCATACGTGAGTGCTGACCGAACACTCGGAGCAAAGAAACGGGCCCGATCGGACGGTTTCTTCCAGCTGATACTCCGAAACCGACAGAAGCGCGAGTAGGTCTTGCCCCATCTAACTTTTCTGGTCGAGTTGGCCCCAGGGCGACGCCTGCCTTCCTCGTCCGAGGTCGATGCCTGCATGGGGCGCTGCGGGAACAGCGGCACCTGCTACTTTAGCTAGAACTTCCTTAGCTCTCTTAAGCAGCGGCCCTGAACTAGCTGCGATCGCAAGCTTATCGACTGCCGAGGGAAGGTGATGAGCGGCCAGCCCCTGCGTGAACCTTGGGTCAAACGTCCAAAGAGTCTGGGCACATTCTTCCAGACTGAAGGCCCAAGAGCCAGGCAATGTCATCGATGTGGATGGATGCTGCAGCTTGGCCCGTAATTGACGAGACGCCCTCAAGCATGGACAGAACATGCATCTTCACCCCTTGTCGCAACCGTCTTGGAGCCGGCGACGATCCCCTTGGATGGGTAGATCCGTGGACCCACAGCCCAATCCAAAAATATTCTCCGAGGGATGGAACACGCGCTTAGCGCTAAGCGAATGGCATACAACGTGCGCTGCAAAGCCTGAAAAGCACGATAAAGCAAGTCGTGATCTATAATCTCATAGAACTGGTTCATGTCCCAAAGCATCGTCGGCACGTACATCCTATATTTTACCCGTCCTTCTGCTCTGACTACCGTTCGCCATGCGATATCTCCCGCACCCCGCCCCCTGCCCGTGCTGCGCTGCGCCCCCGCCCCCCCGTGCACCCCCCCATTCCCTGGCGGCCTTGCAGAGGCGCTGCCCTTGCATCCTGGCGATTGCCGAAAAGTGACCTACAAGTCGCCCGCCTGGCCCCTTGACCTTTCTGGCTAGAAGCACGATAAGTTCGCGCACTTGACGAGGCGGCGCGCTGACCACTTGAGAGAGATGCAAGAGCAGGCGCAACGCGTGCTGACCAGATTCTGAGATGAGGATGAGAGCGGCGCGCCGTGGATGAAAGCCATCTGGGGTGCAGGTCCTCCTCTCGCGCGCCTTGGGAGCCCCTTGGATCGCGCCCGCGGTCGGGGGGGGGGGGGGGGGGGGGGGGCGCCAGGGCGGGGGCTTGATTGGCGAACCAAGAATCCCCCCCATCGTGTTCCTCCTGTCCTTCCAGAGCTCCATTCCACTTCTTCCGCCCACTCTCCATCTCGACGGTGGGGGTGACGGGAAGCCTTGGCCCACTGGATAAACAATTGCTTCACCTTTTCTCGCCTCCTCTGAAATAAGATATGCGAAAATCTGCCCCCAAGAACCCCCCAAAGCTTCGGGGTGCCAAGATTGCCCAGATTCGCATCTGAGAGTCCTCTTTCCAAACAAGCCAAGAGGACCCTCCACGTCTAGGTAACATCGGTAAATGGCGTGCCAGACTGAAGCCCTCCGCCGAGGGCCGCCCGTCGCTCTCGGCGGTGTGACTACGACGCCCCCCGCGCCTGTTGATGACCCATGCCATGGCTCTGCGAGGCACGACCTTGCTGCAGTGCCCAGCGGTGAGGAGCTGGACTAGGGGCTTCGCCTTGACATGCGTCGGAGTGCCAGGCTGGAGCCCTTTGGGAGCTGACTGAGTGGCCCCCAAGATCTCGCCCCAGGCTTTGGCAGCCCACCCCCCGTAGGAATCGGTCAGAATCTGCGCGCCCAAAAACCGATGCCCCCCGTCTGCCGCCCACGCCGCCCCTGCGTCGTCGGTGCAGGTGGCCAGGAAGGCCTCGATCGGGCCGGATATACCTCGATAGTCGGGCGGCCCCTGGGCGGCCCGACAGCAGCGTCGCAAGGGGCCGCCTGGCATGGCGCAGGCGCCGAGAGCGAGACATCCCTGATAGCTCGCTGCACTGCGAGGTGCACTGCAAAGCGCGGGTGGCCGGCCGCGCCGAGGTCAGCCCCGATCGCAGGCGCCGCCCTGTCGTGCAGGGCCGATGCCAGGAAGAAGTCAATCTCGGTCCTGGCGTCCTTGGAGCGGCATGCGTGGGCCTCTGGGGCCCTGGTAACCAGGTCCAAGTCGCGAAGAAGAACGTGCTCTGACAGCACCGCGGGGTTCATATTGAAACCCCCGCCCGCCTACGACACTAGGAGACTTATCTCTAGATGTCGCCCCCAAGAGCCTTCGAGACCCTGCTGCTCTTCAAACCCACACCTGCGCCGTCGCGCGCGCGCATATAGAGCACAGTGCCACCGCGCCCCAAGCAAACGCACTGAGGAAGCATCTGACCAACCGAACAGAAACCAGGATAGGCGACGCGGTGGGCGAGTTCCAGATACCAAGATGCCGCTTAGCTAGTGCAAAGACACCGCCTGAGGCATAGCCTGTATCAAGCTCGGTCGCAGGGGCCCTGTTGTGCTTCCAGCCTTTAGCTGGGAGTACAGAGGCCACTGCATCATAATTACCTTCCAGAAACTTGCGCTCCTGAATATACACTATATCCCCTGCAACCTGCGGAACCAGCTCTGCGCCAGTAGACCAGGAGCTCAGGTTGAGAGTGGTGGAAAGAACAAGCCGAATGCTACCCGTGCTGCCGCGGCGCCCCTGCACCCACTGCAACTGCTGCAACTGCTGCTCCGCCTCCTCCCCTCCTGCACCTTCTTTCCCAGTGGCACCGCCGCCGGGCCCCCCATCGCCTGCTGGATCAGCTCCACGACGGTTGGGCGCCTGGCCTGGCTCCGCGGAACCAGATGCTGCTGCTGGTGCTGCTGCAGACGGCCCCTTCCGAAGTCCAGGCTCTCTCTTGATATGGGGCTTCTGGAACCCCTTCCGCGCTCCAGAGGCCAGGCAGATTTTCCGGATTTGCCCCAGGGGCTCTTGTCCAATCCCCGCCCTTTTGTCCCCGAGGATCCCCTGGATCTCCTGGCCGCACGCCTCGCCAATCTCCAGTTCCCCGTCCGAGTCCCCCACGCGCCCTCCATCCGCGGCAATCGCTGCTGCTGCTGGGGAAGGTGTTGTTGAGACTGCCTCTGGCACTGCTGCTCCCCCTCCTGGACCTCCCTCCTCTGGAAACCGGGGTGAGAGCGCGCCGAGGATGGAGAAAAGCGGATGCTCAATCTGCCCCCTGAGACCCGGATCTTGTACAACATCGCCCACTGCTTGCCTGGGGGCCCCCGCATAGGTGCCCCCCGTGGCCAAGACTGGAGAGATAGCTGGACCCATGGGTTCTCGAAGCTTAGACTGCACCTTGGAACGCGCCCCTGTAAGCTGGACCTGGGCTGACTGATGATCGTATTCTAATGGAAAACGCCACTCCAAATATTCAGTGAAAGCGCCTTCTGCTTCAATGATCTGGTCCTGAATCGTCCCAACCTCCCCCTCGAACTTCTTGACCTGCTTTTCAAGCTTCTGGAGGATAGACGATGCTGTGGCCTGGGACTCCTGGTGGGCCTTTATGAGCGGCTTAAGCCTGTACGAGAAGCCCTGCAGTGGCCTCGTCAAAACAGTGCCCTCCACCCCCCAACAAGAAGAGGTGGTGGAAGGAGTCGGGTGTGGAAGGGTTGGAGCGGTCGCCACGCCTCCCACCCTTGGACCCACTCTCCTTTGGACGCCCGCCCTCGGGGGTCTCATGCCCCCCCCAAGCTGACGTCGTTCGATCCCCATTCCGTCCCTTGCCTTTCCCGCGGCCCTTGGCCCAGGGAGGTGGTTTCTCGCGCCAATCCCCTATATCTGCTGCTCGCTGGGGTGGACGAGCAGGACGGCCATAAGGAGCAGCACACTGATAACACAATTTGCTGTGCTCCTGGTTCTTTTTGCAGCCGCAACGGCCGCATGGAGGACCGAAAGCTTTTTGGTTCGGGGCCCCACTGGGACCCACGGCCACTCCCCTTTCCCATGTAGACCTCGGGTCCTGAGCGCCAGCGGCATTGGCGCCCCGGAGGCGCGCACGGGCGAAGGAGGCCAGACGTTTTAGCTCCTGAGCCGAGGTTGGGAAGTTAAAGAAAAGGCCCCTTGAGCCAAAATGGCTACGGACCTCCTTCCCTCCTTTTTCCCTCCTCCCTCCTCCTCCGCCACCTCCTCCCCCATACTCCTCATCCTTCTCGGCATCCTCTCGGGCTGGGCCTCATAACCAATTCACCCCCCTGGCAGCCTTCTCACTGGAGAGCTTTCGTAAACTGCCCGTCCTGTCCCGTCCCGTCTCATCCTCACCCTTCCCACTCCTCTTCCCTGTCCTCCTCCTCCTCCTCCTCCTCCTCCCCATCCTCCTCCTCATCCTCCGCTTCCTTCTTCCCTTTCTCGCCCCAAAAGAAAATATGTGGGTTCTTTCCCGAATATGTGCTTTGGCGCGGATCGTAAGCGCGCCTCGTCTCCGTCGTCATCGTTGACGTCGTCTGAGTCGTCGTCGTGGTCCTGGTGCGTCTTGCTCTGCTGGGAACTGGATTCCCTCATACAGTGGCCACCACCACCCACTCTCCTTCTTTTCCTCATCTGTCTTCTACTCCTGCTCCTCCCCCGCCTCCTCCTCCTCGTCCTCCTCCTCCCACTCCTCCTCCTCCTCATCCTCCTCTTTCTCCCTCCTCCCTCCTCTCCCCCTGTTCGAGCTTTCGTGCCTGACTCAGCACTCCTGCTCATAGCCCTCGTTGTAGCGCTTGCTCCCTGCCTCTTCCTTATCGTTTTTCCGTCCCCCCCCCCTTTCCCCCTCCTCCCCCCGCGGCCTTGGTTGGCGCACGCCCTTCTGGGCCTTCGAGCCTCCCTCGCCTCTCTCTGGCAGTCGCTCTTCAGGTTCGTGTCCAGAGCGTCTCGCTGCAGTTTGGCTCTGTGCACGTCTCTGCCTTCTTTCGCCTGCGTCGGTGGCCCATTGTGCGTTATCGCAGTTCGCTTCGTTCTCACTTGCCTGCGTCAGGGGCGCTCGCCTGAAAGCATGTACATATCGTTTCGAGCACATCGGCCTCAACCATACCGCCGTTAGATCGATCGATCCTCTCCCCCTCCCCGTCCTCCCCCTCCTAATACTCACCCTCCTCCCTCCTCCCTCCCCCCATCCCCGCCTCCCTCCCTCCCTCTCGCCTCCGCCGCCGGCAACCCCGCCAGCCCGGCTGGCGTCGCGGTAGAGGACGGTGGCGGCGCCCCCAAGCCAGGCCAGGGCGCGCCTGCGGGGCGGCCAGGGGATCCAGGATGCTCTGGGCCCGATCCCTTTTCAACGGTGGTGAGCCTATCGCCAGCCTAATTTTGGCTGGCTTCTGGAGGCGCTGGGGCGCAGAGAACCCCCCCGAAACAAAGTTGTTGGAGGACCCCACGGCCTGAAGAAGGCCCCCAGAATCCAAAACGCTGAGCACGCCATCACCTTGCTTGCAACAATCGCGACGTTGCACGCCTGGACACGTACACGGACTCGTGTGCGATGGCCACCTCTCGGTACTCCCATCAGCGCGGATCCAACACAAGCCGTTCGCGTTGTTGCATCCAGCACATGTCGTGATGGTTCTTGTTGGCGGCAAGAGGCAAGAGGAGGGGGAGGAGCAGGAGGAGTGAGGGAAGAGGAAGAGTCCAAGAGGCCCGAGGGCCCCCGGAGGCCTTCAGGAGCCTTGAAAAAGCTCCCAGAGGCTACCCCCCTGGGCCTCCAAAAGGCCCCAAAGAAGCCCCGCAACAGACGCGGAGGAAGAGGAGGACAAATCAGCAACAGCTGCTCGCGGGCACCTCGATGGAAATCTGCCAAACACACACACACACACACACACACACACACACACACACACACACACACACACACACACACACACACACACACACACACACACACACACACACACACACACACACACACACACACACACGCACCGAATCGGAAGCCGCGCACATCCTCTCCCCACGGAAACCGGCAGAATGGGGTGAACCTCTCGAGGAAAGGAGGAGCTGGAGTTAGACGAGCCACGAGGGGAGGGAGTGGCGCAAGGGCTGCGGGAAACGGGTGGACAAGGGGGACCGACAGGGAGAACTGGCTCAGGGGGGGGGAGCGGGGGGGGGACATCGAGTTCGAATCGGCGATACATCGCCGCCGATAGATCGGCGGCAGGCCACCGATAGCGTACCCGCACGCTCCTGGAATGGGTGGGCCATCAAGCACCCATCGGCAATGAATGGGCGATTGAGGGTCGATGCGTTTCCCCCCTGAGCCAATCCCTCCCTGACGTTGCCCCCGAGTGGAAGGCCTCTGGGTCAGTGGCCCCCCCCCCCCCAGTAGAGCCAGACCCGATGGGCCGCCCCGCAAGTGCGGCAGAGAGCTCCTCGCGCATATACCGCCACCTCACGCCTGAGGGCGGGCCCTAGAGAGGACTCGACGGAGAAGCAAGAGTTGAGGAAGAAGGAGAAGTTGAGGGAGAAGGAGGGAGGAGGAGGAAGTGCAGGAGGCGGAGGAGGAGGAGGCGGAAGGGCTGGCCTTGAGCGGGAGCAGGAGGGGGAGGAGGCAGGGCTTGCCCAAAGGAGGGGGAGGATCTTCGCTTCTCGGGGACGAACTGAAGCGCGACAGCGCCACCAGCCAGCAGCTGTCCCTCGGACTCGATCCGAGGCGCTGCCGATGCCGACTCGGCCTGGGAAAAGGACGGGGGAGGAGGAGGACAACAGACAACGGAGGAAAGCTGGGGGAGGAGAGGGGGAGGAGGAACAGGGATGGCCTGCCTCCGCGGGAAGCAGG